TATTTTTTTTAAACTGTGTATGTGTGTGTATTTTAAACTACAAATTAGTTTCTTATCCAGGAATTACTAAAGCAATATATTGTACATATACAAAACTCCTATTTTGCCTAAACTAAGAGTAATGTGATAAGAACTCTTTCCTAAAGAAACTTCCAGTTTTGTTTTGTTTTAGACTTGTCTACGTTTGTGCTGCACACAACAATTTATAGTCTACCAGCTATCATATAATAAATAGGACGTAGAAAGATAAGGAATTACAGTAGGCCTACTAAATGCTAAAACCTGTCCACTAGGTGATGTTATATCATGTATCTTTTTCTGCAGAAAGCTAAGGGCCGACACATCGCACTTGACCACAGGACATTTATTTTAGAAAGCAATTTTCATCGAAACGTGTAGTTGGTAGGTGTTTTTTTTGTTTTTTCTTATGGTAAATATAATGTATTGTTGAAATGCTGTTAAAACTCTTTTTATGGAAAAATTGTAAAAGATCGTATAAAGAAATTAATGTTAAATATACATTAGGCGTAACACATCTAATTGGAGAGTCGCACTTTCATAGCTTTAAGAAGTTCAAACTATTAGTATTATTACGACGGCGGAAGTCACGCGACGCTGGGTGCATGCGCGCTGGAGTTTCTAGAAGGATCATGACTTATCGGGGAACCTCGCGAGTGTATCATTGTTTGCTAGACGCCCTCGTTTTTAGTATATAAGCCAGCGATTGATAAAAATGCAGATAGATTGAAGATAGGGATAATTGAATCAAGCGAACAGTAGGCACCGTAAGTAAAGTGTGTGAATCACTGTGATTTATAGCGTGTGTTATAAAGGTTATTAAGTTTAAAGTGACTGTGGAAATTAAGTGTATTACAAACTTTGTAACGAAAAAGAATAAACTAGTTTTAATCACGAAGGGACTTGTATCGCTGAAGTCACTCTGAAAGAATTTTTACCGGAAATTATCAAACAAGCAGATACATAACAAATTGGTGTCAGAGAGTGGGACGGAAAAAAAAAAAGAAAAAAGAGATGGAAACTAGAAGTGGAAAATCAAACTAAGACTTAGCAGATTTGATGGCAGCAATACAAGAACAGCAAAAGAAACAAGAAGAACGAGAAAAGAAACGAGAAGAGAGATTACAGCGGTTGTTGGAGGAA